ATACACACTCAGAGTAACATTACAATATCATATTCACCTGAGTACACAAGACCAACACAGAAAAAAAAATCATATTACAAGACTACACTGGTATCGAAGGAACTAGATTCTGTTCCGAAATATCACTTACTCGAACCGTCCTGACCGCGTAGCTCAGTTGGAAGAGCATTGGGCTAGTATTCCAAAGGTCGTAGGTTCGAATCCCACCGTGGCCGGGCATATTTTTCAAGCTCGCCCGGTGTGGATACACACTCAGAGTAACATCACAAATATAATATATGGACTGGTTCAAAAATATATTGAATTTATAAGTGTTGAACTGGTGAACTATTGATGTAGAGATTATGCCAAGTATACAATGGCACAAGGATTTTCATGTTCTCAGCATGATTAAATTGTAAGATTGTGCAAATAATCTGTGTAAATCTCTTAGAGATACCCTCAGTAGCTACCTTTTAAGGTAAAATGACTATGGTAGCTAGAGCTATTCAAGGCAAAAAAGCAATGGATCTGTCAACCTCGTTGGCAACAGTAAATTTAACTAAGTTTATGATCCAGTTATTGCCGTATTTTAGCTGAGAATTCTTTTAAGACAATGAAATACTATGATAGACTTACCTTTGAATTTATCATATATTCTTTTAAAATGGTCACCAAAGCTCTAAAACTCGATTGGTATCGTTTTAACTTTCTCACTCCTTAATGTTTACATGTCAATTTGTCAAATTACATTTGTTTAGGGCACTGGAAACGAGACACGGCCAAGATGCGCGAGGCAACATGCGCAGGGACATCAACATCAAAGATTCCGACATCGAGTGAGACTTCTGCTCCTATTATTTATTCTGTGATTTGGTGTTCGTCATAATTAGTTATTGTATATGTACGCATAAACTATATTGTGAACAAAAAGAAATTTATAAACATACAGTATAGAACACATAGTAAAAAAGTTGGCTAACATATTGTAATGTAATTATCTTCTCTTGTTTCAGCCGTTGGCCAATAATAATTATGATGGTGACTTTCCCCAAAATATGAAAATATGCATTATTCTTCTGGGGTTTTTTTCAATAAATATGCCTTATAGTTGCCCAGAGTTTACAACAACATGCTTGCCCAGTATGGCAGTTCAGAATGTTTTGGTCATGCCATTCTTCATTCGCATGACCAAAATCTTTGCTTCATATCTTATGATAACTAGAAAATACATGCACACAGAAACCCTCGTCTTCTGACAAAACCATTGTATTTTCTGAACATGAAGTATCTAAAGTAGTTGTGATGGTAACACGATAATTTTTTAAGAATATTCTTACAGATGAAAAATCGCCTAAAATATCACTTTTAATTACAAAATTATCAATTTCCCCAAATATTTGTTAGGTTATGTTATAATATGCAATATAAGCCTGAATTTAAGGTAAAATTCAACCACAAACACTTCGCAAAATGTTTTAAAGTGTTCTTTATAAAACTAATCTGCATTTAATTAAATGGCTTTATCGATAAACTTTGCGTTTGCAATAAAATGATTTCAAATTCTCGCATGCAAATAACTTTGCTTTCTTTTTTATTTAAAAAATTCAATATAATAAAAAAGGGAATCAATATTAAAGATACACTGAAATTATATGCTGTCGGGTTTTAAAGCAACTATAAAATCAATATTTAAAACAAACTTACCTTCGTTGACGTCGGCTCCCTTCTTTTAGCAGATGCTTTCGCCTCTTTCATTCAAAACCGAACAGATATATTCTCTCTTTAATACTCTAAAACACAATATTCCAAAAATTATAGTCACATCAAATGCTGAGCACAGTTCTGTGTGCACGTTAAAGTCTACATTAAATTCTGTGCAAGACACCCTAGTTTTCCTTTTCACTCCCAAACGGGTGAAGATATTATGCCTTCACAATCCCATAAAGGTGAGTCTTTATATGGGAAGTTTCAGAAAACACTCAGATATATAGATAGTTTATTAAAAGCAAAATTAAATAGCAGCCAACCGGCTAAATTGCATAATTTGAATATTACATGTGTTGGAAATGTCAAAATTATACTATGTAATGATTAATATATTACAAAATCAAATCTTTTATTTACCACAAATTTACCAATACACACTAATACATTATATCAATACATAAATACGTGGCAGAGAGACCATGGCGAGGATTACAATAGGAATAATCAAACCAGGGACTAAAAATGTTAAAATTATGTCTTTAAAAACTTTCTCGCAGTGTCTGAATCTGTCTGTATGAATTCATGGAAGATCATACTCATTGTACTTGAAGATTTAGGCTGGGGCCATGTCCCCAAGACTGAAGAGTTTGTGCAAGGGCACTGAAATTCTTTCAAACTGGTTATCGCAGAGTTCCTGACATCTGTTATGTAAGGTGGTTAAACCGAATTGGCCCATATTAGCATCATAAGTTTGACTGGGGTCAATAATTGATAGCGCCCTCTTTTGTACTCTCTTAATGTCAGCACTCCAGTACTGGGGCAATGTGTGGTAAAGAACTGGTGAACAGTATTCAAGCACTGATCTAATTGTTGCACAGTAAAAATGTTTAATGTCCGTCAATGGGACACCAGCTCGTTTAAGGAGGACACGAAAGTACAAATTAATGTTTATTTGCTTTCTTAATGGTCTCTATAACATGGTTAACGCAGAATAGGTTGTTTGAGATTGTGAGACCAAATATCTTTGCTTTGGAAACAACCGGAATACATTCTCCATCAATAATAATCAGATAAAAAAATTGTTTATCTCTAATAGAATCCACTATGAGTTCTTTATATTTTCCAGGATGGAGATGCATGTGGTTCTCATGTGACTTATTATCCTACCACATAAATATGTGCACACGATAGACAGGAAATTGGAGAACACCATTGAATTCACCATAAAAATAGGCACCTTTTCATAGTTAAAATCTCTAGACAATTTAATAAAACAAAATTTTTACCTCGCGGATTACAAAATAATTTTATTTGGGTTCAACAGCTTTTTAACTCTGTGACTAGTCGTTCATTGCTGGAAATGGCATTTGCAGGTTCTAATTTTCAAAATTCGGGAATGTACTTCTTGCCAATATTAACTCATTAAGTGGCAAACTGTTATGTTTCTACCACCCTAAGAAAGCAATATGGTGAATTTGTGATTGGATTCCAATCTTTCACCAAAGTGGCAATATCTCAGAAACAGTTGCATAAAAAAACTGATCTTTTCAACCAAACATGAGTGATATATGATTGACCAAATTTAGTTGAAATAACCTTGCATACCTATGTATATATCATTAGTTTTTCAGTGATGCTTATTTGTAAAGCAGTTTTTCATGACATCCATTACCCCAAATGGCCTAAAGGGCAACATGGTATGTGTCACAGGTAAATAGTCAGTGTTCACAGATAAAAGGTCGCAGGTCGTAAAAAGCTTTAAACCATGTATTTTATTGAGTTGCAGGTTAAATAAAGTGTCCATCGTTTGGCAAACAACTTGATATAGGATTGCTTGAATATAAAACATTGCCCAAGAGCCTTTCTTCATGATTTAATGGTTCTTATATAAATGTGAACCTAAAACCTGAAAGTATAATTTCAATATGTTAAACCAACAATTATACCATGACAAAAATCCTCTAATAAAAAAATGTGTTCTGAAAGAAACAAACAAAACATTGGTAGAAATAAATTCAGTTTACCACTACTATTACAATCAGTTTTATAACAATTTAAAAACAACCATATTATCACAAATAATGGATATATCTATGCTAGGACATTTTAAAAGTACAGTATGACTAACCAAGGGGAATGGACAGGAAACATGATCTCTCGCACTAGCATGGGCTGTTGTTGTCTGAAATGGTGTGGCTGGCGATGTCTGCCTGGACCACCGCCGATCAAGTGTAGCTACGGAACTGGTTATTGTTGTCTGTTGTTGGGGCAATTTGTTAGAACGAAGTTGAAGCAGGAGACACTCGCTTGTCTTGGGCTTACTACTTTTCCCTTACGCTTCTGAGGGGGCCGATGTGCAGATTCACCATCAAGGTTTTCTCCATGCTTGCTGATCCCCCTCCTATAACGTGCTGCCTGGTCAAGACCACATCTATAGTTTCTGTGTGCAGAGGAAGGACTGGTTCCACCTGACAACATCCCATTTTTGTACTCTCAAATACAAGCTTCCAATAAGATGGAATCCTGTGCATCCATATTTGCAACCTCTGCATTGTCGATGCCCCCAACCAGCGTAAATCACTTCTGCTTGGTTCATTTTGGACCCATCTTAAGGTGTGAAAGCATTGAAGATAAACTCCCTCCAGTCATCCCATGACTTCAACCATGACTCTAGAAACTCGCAATTAGGTTTCTTGTTAACAAATTTAGTGAGATCACTTGTTGCAGCTGCATTAACCATCAGTAGTTTGTGCAATCAATAGTGCTTCGTATATCCCTTTCAATTTTTGTGCACTTTCCTGGCCAAGTTCTCTAGCTTTCTTGTTGCGATTTTGTTTAAAATTAAATTCACAGTTTTTCACTCACTTTAATGCCTTGCTCCCGAACACATCCCTTATTCAGACTAGATTGACTTCAGCCATATCAGTGCTCCACCTGATGGGATTGAATGTGCAAGTGCTGGTTGTTGCCTTGGTAAGTGCTTCTTGGAATAGTGTCCAAAATAACGTCATGCGTCGTGAATCCTCTCTTTCCATCACTGCTATAGGAATTTGTTACTTCAGCAGCGGGTGATACACACTAGATGTAAGAATTCTATAATTTCTACCACGCTTTTTCTTACCGTCAAAGAAACAATATTCTTTATAAAAAATGGTCACCCATATTTGTTCATATTGTTTGCCATTAATAGTTTGGCTTTGCTTGTCTTGAAGACTCAAGTTGGTGAACAGGGTTGGCCTCATGAGTCGTTTATTTTTTACACATAATAGGGGTCTTTGGGATCGCAAAAATGTCCAAATGTAACCAGTGCGTCAAAGTTTTCTCCCTGGGGATTGAGTTCTAACTGCCTGCTTCTGGTTTGAAATCCATTTACAGGGTGGATCAAGCTGTAGGTGAACATCACTGTAACCATTTTTTAGTTTACTTGCCTCTTTGTCGATCTTGTCCCACAATTCTCCTTCCCACAACAATGAAAAAAGCAGAGCTGACTGAACTTGTGAAGGCTTTAAGGTTGGACCTTTTTTGAGGACATCCCTTTCATTGGCAACTGGCCTTTCTGATTTGGTATACACTGGACAAGTGTGGTCACCACAGTGAAACACTCTTAGTTTTTGTCTTTTGACAAAAATGTAACATCTAGCACAACAAGCAACAGATGCTGCAGTTACTTCGCAGGCTGTGCACTTTCCTTTGCTGAACTGCATCTTGTTCACAATCCCATACTGACTTTGATACATGCACTTGCTGTTGCTGCACACAAGAGTGTCACAACAATTAGCGAACCGCATATGACCATATTCAGCCCAGCTTGTTGAATCTTTGAACCAACACCTACCGTCAGATGATAGAGCTTTCCTTCTAGCTTTTACATTTGATATTCTCAATTTAATATTTTGCCAATCCAGCCATTCTGTGTAGTAACTTGTCCATTTTCGCCTCAGCCACATCTTTCCACAACTCTGGACCAAATTCTCTTTGGCTTTTGGGTTTCAACATTTCTGTCTGGCATCAGACTCGTCACTAGATGAACTACTGGAACTGGAGCTCACTCACAGTCTTGGTTTTCACTTTTTACTGGTGTGCTAATTAAGATGAAATATTATAGATTCTTAGATATATTACTAAGATTGTCAATAAGTACAGCATTGTATAAGATAACTAATCCAATATTGAGTTTAACAATTTTTAGGCCTTACTTTTTTGGAGAGGTGCCTGTTAGATCAATGACCTCAACCTATACAGAAACAACTAAATCAACCTTTGTTTGCATAGTAAACTTGTGTAACGTAATCAATTCTGTTATTATGTTTGTGGTGTTACTCTGAGTGTGCATCCACACTGGACAAACTGAAAAGTTTGCCTTACCATTCTGGGAATCGAACCCCACATGGTGGGAATCGAAACACACACAAAAATTGTCAATTGTTATTGGCCTACCGCATTTACTTGGTTAAACGCCTCCCCAAATTTGAAGCTGTCCTCGAATAAATGCCGCGGGTAAAGTAAAAATATTAGTCAATGTCCCCCTCCAATAAATCCCACACTTTTTCTGATCCATGTAGCATCCATTTGCATTAAGAGTTAAAATTGGTTAAAGGGGAAGTCAAGTCCGTTCTGCGCATCGGTTCTGCTCATAACAATGTGAGGACCTCGAATGTGAATATTTCCCAAACTTCAAATGTTTCGAATTTTTCTGAATATAAACTATTTCATATTCATTTAGAAGCATAGCGAACCAAAAGGGTGTTAGATATTCAGACAGTACATCATATTTTAAAAAATACAGCAGTTCAAAATGTAAACAAACTGTTTGTTTACATTACAGACTTGACTCCCTCTTTAAGTTGATTTTAATTAAACAATAAATCCACATTGATGTGACAGAATTTACAATCAACTCTGCCCTTGAATAGACACCAGCCTTGAATAGAGGCCACACAGGCAGTGCAAAAAAACATAAATGAAGCAGCGTTTATTTAATTCAAAAAGCTAATAGCTAATTCATATAAAAATTTCATAAGGTTATGGTATATACTTTTCGCACTTGGCATTTAATGTTTTAAATTATGAGCAATTTAAATTAGCTGCATGTGCCAAAACACGAATTATAAACAATGTGTAAGAAATTAAAAGGTTTGAATCCAGGTTCATTCATTTTTTGTTTGTTTTATTGTTCTTCTAGATTATTACAAAATTAAATAAGTTTTGTCTGATGTTTCGGTTTCCACCTTTCTGGTTCCACTATGTCGATGACGCCCTGACAAGTTTGCACAAAGATGAAAAGAACAACTTTCTTGAACACCTAAATCAGCAGAATCCAAGTATCCAGTTTACGATTGAGCCAGAATTAAACGGGAAAATTGCCTTCCTGGACTGTCATGTCATCAGAGCCAGAAACACCCTGCAAACAAGTGTGTATAGGAAACCTACCAGTACTGACTGTTTTTTAGATAATTCGTCGTACCATCCAGCGTCCCATAAACCTACGACGATGTTACAGGATGTTCTAACCAGAGTGAAAGATCCATCACCAAGGAATTCTCGGGTGGGAACAGTCTACAAAATAACGTGCACTGAGTGCCCTGCTAGCTATTTTGGGGAAACTGGAAGAACTTTGGAATGCCGAATTAAATAACATAAGCGCTGCATAGCAAATAAAGACCTATTAACATTATTGCAGTTCATCATATGGCAACAAGGGATGGAATGGATTGGGAAGGAGCCACCTGCTTGGTGTACGGATCACATTATGGTCAGCGAATGTTTTTGGAAAGCTGGCATACGAAGAGCGAGAAGGACAGCATTGTTTGCCATGAAATGCCAGGCGCATATTATAGTTTAATTGCAAATGAACGAGCGTGTGCAGAATGTGAACGCACACAAAGACAATCATGCAATCGTGCAGCTGACACAAGATAAACATCAACAGATAAAATGAACAAAAGTTCAAGTCCTCGAAAATGGTTTTCATATAGGAAACTTAAACGCGAGACAAAACTTATTTAATTTTAAGTTCTTTATATGTTTGCATGGCGATAAAATATAATAGTTTTGTTTGTGGAAACACCACGTACATTTATTACTGCAGTAATAAATTTACGTGGTGTTTCCACAAACAAACTATTATATTTTATTTAATTTTGTAATAATCTAGAAGAACAATAAAACAAACAATGTGTAAGAACTTTAAAATTACCTTGCTCCAGAAAGAACCATGTGCAGTTGGTAGCACTGGGATTCCTGGTTTACAATCCAATTCGCCATCCCACGACTCGTATTGTGGTGACTTTGTTACCTGTTTATATATGACAATTTACTAATATAAACAGTTTTTACATACAAGAGATTGAAGAAAATATCCAAATATAGTTACAAAATTGAAATGTATGTACTGACACATTTTTGGTAAACTGGTTCATTTGAATGTAATGGCTGTCGAATAATTGCTTAACTGTTTGATCTTTAATTGGTTTTGTTATTATTTAACCATTTCTAAAATTTGATACTGTGCCTTTTTAATTACTTTGGCCAGGGGCTGTATTTTGTTGGGATACCGCTGCGACTGTTGCACAGGCTCAGTAAGATAGTATATGACCACATTTACCATTGCAACTCTTAACACATTGTGTGCAGGAATTGTAAATTGCCTTGGGCAATTCTTGAGCATGCACTGAACATATGTAATTTGAATTTTTTTTTTCTGTGTTGGTGTAGTGTACTCAGGTGAATATGATATTTGTGGTGTTACTCTGAGTGTATATCCACACCGGGCGAGCTTGAAAAATATGCCCGGCCACGGTGGGATTCGAACCTACGACCTTTGGAA